ATTTTAGATCTAATTGTCTTTACACATACGTAGCAGGTTCGTTCAATGCTCTTGACTCAATTGACTACAGTGTCTGTTACAGAGATGTATTGCTAAGTACAGATTTATATAAGTTGCTATATGGAGCTTCTGTGATAAGGATAAGAGGATTTTATTATTATTACTGACTAATACTACTTACCAGTAATATAGTGATTTTGACCTACTGATCTCAAAGCACTTTACAAAAGTACAGTAGACCCTCAGAGTTATGAACACCAGAGTTACAAACTGACCAGTCAACCACACACCTCATTTGGAACTGGAAGTACGCAATCAGGCAGCGGCAGAGACAAAAACAAATACAGTACCATACTGTGTTAAACGTAAACTACTAAAAAATAAAGGAAATTTTTTTAAAAATTTGACACAATAAGGAAACTGTGCTTGTTTCATTTAAATTAAGGGTAAAAGCAACATTTTACTTCTGTGTAATAAAGTTTCAAAGCTGTATTAAGTCAATGTTCAGTTGTAAACTTTTGAAAGAACAACCATAAAGTTTTATTCAGAGTTGCAAACATTTCAGAGTAATGAACAACCTCCATTTCCAAGGCGTTCGTAACTTTGAGGTTCTACTGTAGATGGGAAAACTGAGGCACAAAAAGAGATTAAGTGAGTCACCTGGGGTCACACAGCAAGTCAGCAGCAGAGTTGGGATTCAAACTCAGGTTCTTTTGGCTACCATTTGCATGTTCCACCCACAAGCTCACAGCTGTCTGTGTTGGCAGCAGTGTTCTGATAGACAGATCACAGGACTAGGAGCCAGGACATTGGGGTTCCTTTAAAAAGTTCCGAGATTTCTGGGAACCTTTTTCAATAAGTGATTTAAAATCTTAATCATCCCAGTCAGTTCACTTTTGCTTTGACATGACAATGGGGTGTAGTGCAGGACATCAACAATGGGAATTTTTAAAAAAGTGGTCTAAGCTGGAGGCTGAATCCCTCTACCCATAGAACAGATACAGGAAAGGCATTGGCAAGATTCTCTATGCAGTCATATGAACCTGAGTTGTAGTGGTGAGAGAATAGGACAGTCTCCATACCCTTCAGACCTCAGGTTCACTGCTTAGACAGTCAGTTGTGTTTTCTTATTCTTAAAACAGACATCCACCAATTGGGAACTGCTCCACATCAACTCACTAACTTCACAGGGGCTGTGAAACAGCCATCAGATGGTAATGACTTTTGGCCACTATCTACTCGCTGTACCTAGGTTGCAGCCAAACCAGGTAGAGATGGAAAAAACAAACCATTTTTCAGTTGCAGGAGCCAAGATCAGTGGGAATAAAGTGACTAAATGGAGACACTAGAAAGGTCATTTAAAATATATTGCTCCATCACTGAGACTTTGCATGATGTCTTTAAGCTACTTACACATGAGTTTGAAACAGCTGGCAATACAAATTTAGAGTGGAAATGCGGACGGACCTTTATCTACAGCGGCAGAATGGGTGTGAATTTATTAGAACCATATCTACTCTTGGCTTGAAACTACACTATCAACAACCAGTTCAATCTCTCTGTCTCCTTATCTAAGCACCTATATCACACTCATCACAGAGTGTTATATTTTCCTTTACCATTGTAGACGGATTCTTTTCCCTGTTCAAACTGTGAGGTAGACTATAATCCTAGGTCTACCCTACAACGTTATAGTCTAACGTTGCTATACTAGCAACAAAAGTGTTGCTACTCTTCTGTGAACAGGTTCCAAAAGTTGACTGAAAGCTTTCATTCCTTACTAAGAGAAAAATAAGAGCACAAAACTGAACTGTTCTGCCTAGCACTCTAGTCAGTAGCTGTCCTTTGGAACTGAGAATTCACATCTGTTAATACTAACGATTCCTTCCCTAACACATTTTACATAGCTCCAAAGTTTGCATAAATATCAGTAAATGTGTTTTTTCATGCTCTTTATTTCTGAGGTATCATGATATGCTAATTCTTAAGGCAAGCTGATTGAGAAGAAGATGAAATACTCAAGCAGAGCCTAGTGGATTGTATTTTCATTTTGCCGAGCTGTGAGGCTTGTGCACTCCCAAATGCCCATATGCTGAGACGCCAGCATTCCCACAAGTATGTGACTATTCTTCATTCAATCTTCCTTTCTTTTTGTCAGAGGATGGAGATGGATGGCAGGAGAGAGATCACTTGATCATTGCCTGTTAGGCCCACTCCCTCTGGGGCACCTGGCATTGGCCACTGTCGGTAGACAGGATACTGGGCTAGATGCACCTTTGGTCTGACCCGGTACGGCCGTTCTTATGTTCTTTATAGGAACTTCCCATCTGGAAGCGTGGTTGAGCTGTGGGCTCTTACACATGAGAAGAAAGATGGTGTGGGGAATTTAACATACTGGAAATAGTAACGTGAATGAGAATCCACTTAAATGTTGGAACTTGTTGCAGGATTTAATTGTATTAATTTTCCTTCTATTTTTAAAGAACCTGATTTTGGTTCTATGCCACGCAAGATTCCTCCCACCCAAAGCTCTCCTGCAGCACTTCAGTTCAGTTCTTCAACACGCAGCACTTTCCCAGTGCTTGGTTTTCTCTCTTGATCTGGTGGTTTTGTGATGTTGACAAACATCTGCCTGGAAACTGGGCTGTAGCATGGGTGTAGAAAGCAAGTCAAGTTTAACAGGCAGGAAACAAGAGAGCCTGGTATTATATTATTGTGAGTGACTGTCAGAATAAACTCGAATATTAGAGAGGCTATAGCTCCACTAAGCCAATACATCCCAATATCTGTTTGAGTGTGACGTGCCTGGAACACGCTCTTCCATCTCCAAAGGTGAAAGCCTTGCACATTAACCTTAAACTACCACAACATCTGCTCAATGGGCTACACTGCAATACTCAATCAATTTGTAACTGGCGATAGCAAGTGCCACCTATTGAGGAATAAAAATACCCCCATCCTACCCTTTCCTGTAGGTTCTCGTGATCTGGGATTATGACGGAAAATCTCTATTGAACAAGACTTGGGGAATACTTGGATACCCACTATGTGGCTTCTGCTCCTGAATTATGCAGAGGAGTCAAATAACTCTTGTAAGACTCAAAAACTTGATTCTCTAGTTTATAATCTAGTCTAAATATTTAAATACACCTCTACCCCGATATAACCCTGTCCTTGGGAGCCAAAAAATCTTACTGCGTTATAGGTGAAACCATATTATATCGAACTTGCTTTGATCCATCGGAGTGCACAGCCCCTCCCCACCCCCGGAGCGCTGCTTTACCGCGTTATATCCGAATTCATGTTATATCAGGTCGCGTTATATCGGGGTAGAGGTGTAGTTATCCAGCAACTCCCCACTGCAGCTTTACTTTCCTGTGGCCAAGATTTAAAAAATAAATAAAAAGAATATCTAAAGTTAGACTCCTAAGCCAGGATCATGCAGCTTCTTGATGGTCAAGCAGCTGTGGGATCAGAGTCTAAGTCCATATAATTGTAGGCCCTGATTTTCCTCGGCCAACGCTCACAAACAGAACATATGGTTTCCCATTAATCGACAGAGCATTTTTTCAGTGAGTGTTTTTTTATCCTTATTTACATGGAGATGGTACGGCCCCTGCTTTCCACCTTCACAGATGACCTACTGACACCCAGTTCCCAACCTATTCTGCTGGACTTTATATCCATTGTGGACAAACTGCTGCTCAGAATAATTAAAAAAAGAAAAACCAACCAAGTAGGCTGCACATACAGAAACCAA